GGGACGTCTTTAGCCTTACCTATTATGATTTCCTTCTCAAAAATCGAAATGTTTTGAAAATGTCTTTAAAATTAAAACTGATAGTTTTTTTTTTCACTCACAATCACCACTAATACATTAATAAAACATACTACAAAGATAAAACGATACTAATCTTTCAAAAATAATACAAAAACATACAAATTCAGTTGTAAACTCCAAACGCAAATTCACCACAATGTGTATGTTGTCACGTAATTTGACACAAATGACAGTTCTAGAGATGTAAACGTCAAAAAAGTAAGGTTATTAGTGACAAAATATATTGGCATAGCTTAATCGTATAGCAGTATATGATTTTATTATAAAATTTTGAACAAATTCGAAAAACTTTTGTGACTGATCATAATAATTTGATCACCCACTGTAGATGTAATTAATTATAGTTAATATAGAATAAATATTAAGACTAGCTATAAAAATAAGGGAAAACCGTAAAATTAATAATAATTTTACTTTAGATATATTTATAAGTTTTTAATGGGCTGGACAATATAGGAACACTCTGTAGTTTTAAACAATTAAAAAAGGTGTTATATCATCCAACACCACCAAAACAGTAGAATTAATTATTCAAGTACTTATTTAGGCAATAAAGTCGCGCGCTTATGATAGTTATTTAAATTATTGCTTTCTAATAAACTTATTAGCAAATTACCTAATTAAAACATATTTAAAATGAACAGGTAGACATGAGGAGGTTCATCTTGTAGTTTCACAGGGTTCTTTGGAAGATAAACGAGAGAAATAGAGGATAACCAGTATTTTAAACAGAACAAATATTGAAAAAGTATACACAACGACTGTTCAATGTTATCTTAAGTAGGTAACCGGAAAAATGAGGTGAGAACAACGAAAGGTCACAATTTTATTCAACAATATTTCAATGAAATTGACGAGGTTCGTTAATATACATACATAATGTGTCAATTTTACCTAATAATTATTTAACAGACACAAACAACAATGCTCTTCATCAAATTTCTTGTAAATTGGGTTATGTTTATTAAAATATTTTAGTAGTAACTCTTATGTCAATAATAAATATGCGGTGTATACTAATAAAAAAAACATTTTATTGCATTTATATCAGATTGTATTTTTTAAAATCTTCAAAGAATTTGATCAATTTTATCGGGGCATCGAAATGATTTTGCATTTGTTTGATATCGTTTCAGTATTAAGCTTCTGGATACTGCATAACTATACGATTTTGATAATTATTTCACGATTTTGATGAGTATTTCCTATTTCATAATAATTGTGTCATATACATTGTCAAATCTAGTGGAGGCTGGTACTATAAATAGGTCCTTATACTCCAGCAAATAAAGAATGAAATGAGTCATACGCGTGATTACCTAAGTTTTTTCTATTGCTTAGCTGTCTCTATGACTTTTGCCAAGAAGCGTGTGAATTGCTGACAATTTATTTTTTATTTAGTGTATGGCATACAATAAGAACACATTAAAAAAAATTTTCAAATTTTCTTTGTCTCTATTGGCTTATTTTGATCTATAAGTTCTTAAAGTTCTTTGTTTATATTTTCTCTCTTCTTTATGCGGTGAATTTTCTTTTCATAGTTATATTCTTCCTTTGCTTTTCGGGTTCTGTGCATTAGTAAATATATTCTGTTTTTTCTTTCTGTTGTAATTTGACATTATTCCTCAAACCAGTCATTTGTTCTTCTTCTTCGTCATGTACAATGTCCTTTCAGAACGTTGGTTACCATCATAGCTATTTTAATTTTATTCACTGCCACCCTAAATAGCATGCTTGTATCTACACCATACCAATCTCGCAAGTTCTTCAACCATGAGGTTCTTCTTCGTCCTGGACTGCGTTCTTGTTCATCTCTGTTCATTTGTTCTTGTTCTTCTTTATTTATCTTCGTATCTAGTAGTTCTTCAGCTTCTTCTTTCATGATGTTTCTGCATCTTTCCCCCTCTTTATTTGTTTTCATGTTTTAATCTGTTTTCTAGTTTGATGTTTATATTATGTTTAGATTCGATTGGTGTCCTGAGTCTACCATAACATCATGTATCCTATTTACTAGTCCGACATCCTAATTCAACTGGTGATTCATGTTTATTTTTTAGGACATTGATTAATTCCGATATTAAATAGACTTATAACTTATGTTATTTTGATACTCAAGAGCATGTTTTTTTTTTTTTCGATTAATAAGAGAATTAATTTAATAATGTCGCAGATTACGATGTACCTCCTTTAATGGACGAACACTTAAATGTAGACTATGCAAGCTACACTGGACAATTTACATAGGCCAGATGCAGCAAGACTAACAAAAATGTGCTTAACAGTAGAAGAAAACATTGTTAAGCCTATACTAACACGAAATCTCTATTTATGGAAACAATTTATTTGAACTCCATTACCTCACGAATCGTAAGATTTCCATACAAACTTTCCATAAATGGATGTCGTAATAATTATCTGTTTGTCAACTAACCATATAATCATATTCCTTTCTTATGTTCCTATATAAATAATTCCAGGAATTTTTTGCATAATGCAACAGAAAATTTTATTAGATCATCGAAAGTTTTTAAATTTAAATTAACGCAACTCGTCGGAAGTCCTTTTATTACTCATCTAGAACCTATATAATACTTTAGAATATGAAACGTGCTTTCTCGGTAATTTTATTATGCAGTAAAATGATGCCACGACGATCCAATTTTACGAGCTAATGAAAACGTCTCTTCGACGAGGACGAGAGTATTCGGCATTTATTATAACTTTCGAAATACGGTACTTGCCACCACTTAATTATCCAGTTTATTTAACGTTTTTCATCTCTAAAACCAACCTCTCTAAAATATAGAAATATTTTCATAATTCTTTGCATAATATAGTACTTAGATAAATTAAAATCTATCCTAAAATTCCAGTTGCTAAAATTCCAGAAGTTGCAATTATTGCTCATTTAACTGACAGCCCTCAACGATTTCCAAAATTTCGTGTGATAATACATACTGTTGTGCGCTCTCTCTCTCTCTCTCGCTATCTCTCTTTCTCTTTCTTTATCTTTCTTTATCTCATCTCTCTCTCTCTCTATCCCTTTCTCTCTCTCTCTCTCTCTCTCTCTCTCTCTCTCACACCCTATCTCTCATGCGCTTGTCATGTCTCATACGTTGTCTTTCTGGCTAAGAACACGGCTCAAAACTAACAAGAAAACACTCAAGAAGAACTCAACCTAGGCAAACTCAAATAATCAAAACAAAGTAGTGAATAAGCTCAATAAACAATTTAATAAAACAACTTTAATAAAACACCTATCTGATAATGAATGAAAAGTTTTACCAAACTACGGTTTTTCCCATGCACACATCTGACACCGAATTTCTTTTGTCGTGATATTAATCTGAAAAGCAAAGATGAAGAAGATTGTCTATTTCAATTATTTGAGCTCCAGTCTAATTCCACAAAATGCCGAAAAACGTTTTGCCACGAAAAAAGGTCGTGAGTTCGAATCTCACCTGGGTGGAAATTTTCGTTTATTAAAAATTAATAAATGAAAATAATTTCTATCCTTGTGCGATCGGTACTCACCGGAGGGACCGCAGACGTTCGGATACAATTAGCATCTCTTAGCAAAGACAATGACGTCGACTTTGCTAAGTATCAAGACAATTATACACACAAACACACACACACTACACACCTGACTGTAAAAATTCACTGTACCAATGACCATTAGTTGTCGACGCATTAAACTCAATAAAAAAAATTCCAAAAATATAATTGAACAAGTCGATAAACCCCACTAGATTGCCATTTTTATCATTCAAACATTAAGCAATAACTATTTCATCTTCAATCTCTGTACTTCCAAAAATAGTAATTTCAAATGTCCATGAAGAAAGTGAGGTCCGAAATTCACATCAAAGATGTTTCACTAGAAGAAATTACGTAGTTAACAGGGAATAAAGGAAGAAAGAAGATATTTCCATTGACAGTAATGAACTTCAAGAAGATGAAGCCGAAGAAGTCCGACCTCATATACAGTGCAGATCATTTTTTACTCCATGAAAAATGCCTGGGGTAAAGGAGTTATATGTATTATCCTAACTACGCCCATGCTTCGTATTTTAAAATATCAGCCCTTAAAGCTAATTGATTGCTGTATATTTTTGACACTACGTGTGGAGCTGTAACATTTTTATGGGTTTAGTGTAGTTTTAACTCTTGTATATAAGTCTGCTTTTAACCTTTGCGTAAGAATGTTGAATGAATACTTTAATTCTTGTAATACTTTTTAATTTTTATTGAACTAAATCGTGTTTAAAAACGGCCCTCTTAGGGCAGTTTTTTAGTTTAAAAACCCTAAAAAAACCTCTTAGTCCTGTCTGTGGCTCTTATGTAATTTCTTCAACATTTTCTGCCATATTCTCTGTAGCTTGGATACTCAAGTTATCTTCAACAATGTTTTTCAATAATTCTTTTATTTGAATTGCTTCAATAATTTCTTCTTCCAAGGTCTCTTCCCCATTATCATCATTAAATTCTAGAGTCGTTAAGAAGACCATCTCTTCCTGGGACCGATTTTCCAATTTCCGAAAAGAAAGTTTGGTTTTGCCATTTTTGAACACACGATCCATCTGAAATTAATATATACCTTTGTATTTTATTGACAGTCACAAAATTCACACGACTTCCCAATTATGCCACGATGGACCAATGATTCCATTTGGATTGATTGATATTTATAATGTTTACATAAACAATCTTGTAAATATTAGAAAACTATAATACACATTATTAAAAACAACCAATGTACGGAAACAAATATATTCTTCTTCTTTGTGTGCCGTGCTTGTATTCAAGCGTTGGCTATCGTCATATTGACAAGCTGATGAAATGATTTTCGGTCGACAGCTAGATGAAACAGTTCCTCGACCGTTCGAACTGTCCATTGTCTAATGTTACGCAGCCAGGACAGTTGTTTTCTTCCGACCCGACGTTTTCCTTCGATTTTGCCCTGAATGATTAACCGGAGTAAGCGATATTCAGGTCCTCTCATTATATGACCGAAGTATTGGACCTTTCTTATTTTGATGATGTTGATCAATGCTCGCTCTTTGTGCACGGTCTCTAGCACACGTTTGTTAGATATGTGTGCTGTCCACGGTATTCTGAGCATGCGACGGTAACACCATGACTCAAACGCTTCTAATTTGTTAAGATTTTTTATTTTTGTTGTCCAGGTTTCACATCCATAGAACAAAGTGGACCAGACGTAGCACTTCAATACTCTTAGACGTGTGGTCAACGACAGACTTCTACTGCATAATACAGAACGCCAGTTATCCGTACGAGTTCTATTCTGGTCGAAGTTTCCTCGTCACTTTCAACCCTGCAGTTAATCCAGCTAACTAGATATCTAAAGTGTTCCACCCTTTTCAGGATTTTGTTATCTAATCTTAGTACTGAGTCTTCGATATTAATTTTCCCGACCACCATCCATTTTGTTTTTTTTGCGTTGATTGTTAAGCCCTTTTCAGTGCATTCGTTGTTTACAGCTTTTAACAGGGTTTGAAGATCTTCTAGACTGTCTGCCATTATTGCGGTGTCATCGGCGTTCTTCTGATGTTATTAATAATTTCACCACCGATCTTAACACCTTCACGGCGATTATTTAACGCTATTTCAAAAACTGGTTCAGTGTAGGCATTAAACAACATCGGTGACAACACATTCCTGTCTGACACCACTCTTAATAGAAACTTTAGCTGAAACCTCTTGGTTCACCTTAACACAAGCGGTCTGATTGTAGTAAAGATTTTTGAGCAATCTAATGTCATACGTGTCCAGACCTACTGAGTCTAAACATTGAAATAATAATGTATGTGATACTCTATCAAAGACTTTTTTGAAATCTATAAAACATACGTAAATATTTTTCCTAAACTCAATGCTCTTTTGTAAGAGTATTCGCATGCAAACAAGAGCTTTTCGAGTACTCATACCGTTTCGGAAACCAAACTGCTCATCACCAGTTATCCCCTCACAAAGTTTATATATGCGACAATGCAATATTTTCATAAAAAATTTTGAGCGTGTGACTCATTAAACTGATAAGTCGATAGTCGCTACACTGTCTGGCATTCTTTTTCTTGGGAATAGTTATAAATATCGATTCTATATTTACAACTCGAAACAAATATATTCTCATGCAATTACTTGTTGAAAGATTTTGAAGATGCCATGAACACACAAAGTCACCAATGAAGAAGTACTACGGAGGATGAACACAACTGCGGAAAAAGGACCCCAGGACGAAGAAGAATATCCTGGCTTGCTAACCTGAGAGTATGATATAGAAAGACCTCAACACAGCTATTCCGTATAGCAACCAACAAAGTCACCATAGCCAGAATAATCACCAACGTTCGGAACGGACAGGTACCCTAAGAAAAAGAATAGCTTGTTCAATTACTCACCTTAGGAATGACTTAAAATTTACAGTGAATTGTTGATAGTTGTCACTACGAAGTTTCGCATTCATTTCTGACTAAAGCTTGCTGATAGTACTACCAAATAAATCAATGCAGGAAGGTGAGGCAACGCAATGTCGTTTGTCCAATCGAAATAAATAGTTTCACATGCAGCTAAAGCAGAAAACATTGCCATGATCCCAAATGGGATCATCTGACTGGAAAGGGTTCTACATCTCTCCATCTCTGAATCATCACCTGCGTTGCGAACAGAGCTCTCCGTGTTTGAAGACCACTTCTGAACCCCATTTGAGTGTTTCCCATATTCACTATATAATCGGGCGTGAATAACATGACTCATTAGACTGTTTGTGATACATTCACCGCATGCTTTACTGTTGGATTTCATTGGTGAAGTAACAAGACATACATTTAATCCCCTATAAAATATTATTTTTATTTATAGTTTTTAAATTATTTTTTATATTTTAATTTATTTTTATTATTTTTTATTTTAAACTGCCAAATCATTATTTTGATAGATATTTATTCAAACTATCTTTATATAATAACTATATTTTCATAAAAGGCAACCTTTGAAGGTCTTTATTTCGATCCTTTTCTTTTCTCTTCATCAAGGGTCTTTTGTCACGAACTATCCCAGAAGAACATGCATGACCTTGTTATAAAAAAGCACAGGTAGGAATTTCATTATTTCAATTTCAAGTTGATCCCTAACGATTTATGTTCAATGCCTCGGTGAAAGGTTTTTTTATAAGAACTTTTACGACTTGTTTTATTTCACGGAATATCTTTTTGATAGAATCAGACAACATTCATCCGCGAAACTTAAAGATGTAAGCAATTTATTGCAGTGTTAATATAAAATATATTTTATAGGTAAAATTATTACTTTTATGTTATGTAACAGAGCATAGAAAGAGAAATAAACTGGTGATTAAATAAGATACTAAATATATCCTTTGGTTGGCTTTTGGATGGCTTTTATCAACGAGAGACTCACTTTACAGAAAATACTACACGCGGATTCCCAGCTACAAGTTGTATCATACAAGACACCCAGACGGTATATCTCATGGTGGAAGTGCCATAATTATACGTGATTCTATTAAACACCCCGAAAGGGAAAAATATAACAAATATTACCTGCAAGCAACCACCTTAACAATTGAGGAAGCACACGGCCCCATAACAATATCTGCCCTATACTGCCCACCTAAACATGCCGTTAAAAAAGATCACTTCCTAGAATATTTCAACACTCTAGAGAACAAATTTATTGCAGGTGGAGATTATAATTCAAAACATCCGATGTGGGGCTCTAGACTAACAACACCAAGAGGCAGAGAATTGGCTACAGCAATGTTAGAAAATAACCTGCAACAAATCTCTACTGGCTAACCAACTTATCGGCCGTTTGACTTAAACAAACTACCTGATGCCGTTGATTTCTGCATCACAAAAGGCATCGATACCAAAAAATGTAAAGCTGAATCGTGCTTCGATTTATCATTAGACCACTCACCGTTTATAATAACAATCTTCGAAAAAATCTTAAACAAAGTAAGTACATCAACCAACTTTGCATAACACCAAGACTAACTGGTCCCAATTTAGAGAAAAACTAGACACCCTGATCTCACTAAATCTGTCCTTGGAACTATTTCAGAAAAGGAATTAAAGAAAAACTCAAACGGCCACAACAGTATAACCCACCAATCAAATATGAGGCAAACACCTGGGTTAGGAACGACAACAAAAAAGCTGATATTTTTGGCAAGCACCTTAAAAAAGTATTACCCTTCTACAGTATCTACAGAGGAAGAAACAGAACTAACCAGATTCCTAACAGCACCGTTTCACACGAAATTTACAGTCAACTAAGTAAAACAAACAATAAATGAAGTCAATATCAAAAAAGCCCACAGGATTTGACCTAATCTCTCGTAAGATTCTAAAAGAAGTGTCGGATAAGTGCATAAAACTAATAACCTTTATATTTAATGCAATCCTGCGCCTAAACTACTTCTCTAGTTTAAGTGACTACACTGGAAAGTGACACAAATCATAATGATCTGTAAACCCGGAAAAAGACCGGAAAATGCATCTTTATACCGGCCTATAAGCCTTTTTCCTATGATTAGCAAAGTCTTTGAAAAAATGTAGGTAAAGAGGTTAAAAACGATAATAGACGAACATAAAATAATTCCAGAACATCAATTCCTTTTCCGATATAAACACGGAACCATAGAACAAGTGCATAGGGTAGTCAACAAAATAAACAAGGATTTTAACGCCAAAAGATACTGTTCTGCTGCTTTCCTTGACATATCTCAGGCTTTTGACAAGGTATGGCACTTAGGACTACAAATGAAACTAAAGAAGCTCCTATCCTATCCTCACGTCCAGCTCTTAAAATCCTACATAGAAAATAGACACTTCCTGGTGAAGCACGGTACCGAGCACACTAAAAGATATCCTATTCACTCAGGCATACCACAAGGCAGCGTTCTCGACCCAATTCTATAACTTTTATACACAGCGGACATTTCAACATTTAGTACAACTACTGTTGCAACGTATGCAGATGACACTGCTATCCTGGCATCCCACACAGATCCATCAACAGCATCAAGAAATCTTTTATCAAACCTAAATAGAATTCAGCAGTGCATGAAAGTATGGCGAATCAAATATAATGGAACTAAGTCAATACATGTTACATTCACGCTACGTAGAGAAACATACACCCTGTATATATTGATAATTGTCTAATTTCCTTATTCCGAGGACGCTAAATATCTTGGCATGCATTTGTATCGCCGTCTAACTTGGAAAGAGCATATCTTTAACAACCGAAAACAGCTTGGCCTTAAATTGAATAATATGTATTGGGTCATTGGTCGCAATTCAAAACTATCTTTGGATAACAAAAGTCCATCCTCAAGCCCATATGGATTTATGGGATTCAGTTATGGGGCACTGCTAGCGTCTCCAATACAAACATCTTACAAAGATTCCAAAACAAGGTACTGCGTGCCATAGTCAATGCTCGACAACTAAATGTACGGAACGTATTTGAAGTGCTACAACGGCAATTGCCGTCCGACTTGTCCAACTGAACATAAGTGTATTCAAACCAATAAAATTTTAATTTTTAGAATTGTAAAGAGGTTACTTACTGGAGTAACTCTCTACATGTCTGCATTTTTTACCGTACCAAATGCTTAATGCCTAATGGGCAGATTGTTGTACTCAATGGAGTTAATAAAAAAAATGTTATTTTAACAACAGAGCATACAAAGAGAAATAAACTAGTGATTCAATAAGATACAGTATAGAGATTTGCTTTTCAAAATTCGTATTTAGTTTTCTGGCTAATTTTATCACTATTACACAAAGAGTATTGAATATAAAATATTTAAAAATCTACGCAGTTGGTTTTTTTTCCACTTTTTGAGGATACATAATCCAGGAAATGGAACGGAAAACCAAATTCGATAACGAATTAATGTTTTAACCGCATATCTGTATCTTGTTCACTCCGTATTATTCGCGGGGTTCTCGTTTAACCCAATTAACATTGCATATAGCTAATGAACAATTTTATTTATTTTTAAAACATCTAGAACAGTTGCTCTAATTATTTAATGGAGCGTAAACAATAGTTTCAGATTTTTATTACAGATTATGTAATCGTAAGTATGGATTACTTATTGAGTTGTTTTCATATTGTAAATCCATTAACAATATAATCAAATGACGGTTTCTTTCTATTTAGTATTATTATTATTGAATTAGGCCATACGAGATTCATTCTAAAGAGAACTATTCTCTTAAAAAGAGAATTAATTCACTTATTCCAGATATCTAAAGTAATGAAAGATCCTTTTCCTTTTATTGAGTTCTAGGTGTCCTTTTTTGTGCTAAACTACTGTCTACGAGTTTCCTGATTTACATGACCGCAGTTTGGTTGCACCGTACTTAGTTCTTTCTTGAATTTTTGTTGATGTTCATAAAGAGTTATTTCATATTCTATAGTGTATTTTTATGTATGAGAGTGTAATAAAACAATAAATTATGTATGCAAATCCCTAAACTGTTGATACGGGTGACTCAATGAAAAACATATATTTGTCAGTCAACAAGTTTACAGAAGTATATAGGACAACAATTTTAAATTGAGTATGACCACCAGGTGTAAAGGTTGGAGCAGAATAGAATACAATAGTTGTGAGGGTTACTAATCCCTAAATAAGGTTGCCAGTGTCGGAGTGATGGAGGTTAACAGGTACTAATGAATTTGCAAGAAATGTAAGATGTTTATTTTATTGGTTATATATAACCAATAAAAGTTTAATAAGTACCTACCTACTTGCAAAATAAAGTTTAATTCTTTAGATAAAATAAAACGTTTTATTTTATCTGAAATGAGTGCATTCTACGAAGTAAGGGTTTCAACAATCAAGCATTTAATTCTTTAATTCCAGGAATCTACGACAGTAATTGACTAGATAATTACCTTCTAAACTTATTCCACAGAAAATGTGATAGTGGGTTTTTCCATTTTGTAGGAAGGTCCAAGTGGCGTATTCAAAATTCTTAACAGTTCACTAAAAGTAGGTACTTCAGTTGCAAGGTGCAGTTTATTGTGTATACTAGTGTTATGGAAAATTTGGAAGTGCCGTGTAAACGCCGAAAAATTTTTCCTTTAACAGTTAATGAAAAAACATTAATATTTAATTGTTTTAAATCATTTACAGACCAACGTTTATGTGAAAGTGTTGATGAGACCGTTGAGTTAGTTAGCAGTACACTTGGTGTTGGGAAATCTACGATTTACAGAGTTATTAAAGAAGAGAAATGTGGTAGTTTTCAAATGCCACGTAATGCTCCAGGGAAACCAAAATTTCAAATAGAATATCATTTTAAAGAAGGACTTCGACGGAAAGTGCATGAATTCTTCTTTAGACAAGAATTTCCAACATTGGATAAAGTTCTTGTCTCAGTTCGAGATGATAAGGATTACCCAGAAATGAGTCGAAGTACGTTATGGAAACTTTTAAAAGAAATAGGCTTCCGCTGGAAAAAGAATCCCAGAAAGTCTATTTTATTAGAAAGAAGCGATATTGTCATATGGAGAAGACATTTTCTAAGAACCATAAAGGAAATGAGAAACCAAAAAAGAAAAATATTTTATCTTGATGAAACATGGATCAACGAGGGTCATACACCAAATAAATTTTGGCAGGATGAAACTGTTACAAGTCAAAGGCAAGCTTTTGTAAATAACTTATCTACTGGTTTAAACCCACCATCAGGAAAGGGACGCAGGCTGATAATAGTACACATTGGCAGTTCAGACGGTTTTGTTGAAGGTGGTTTATTAACTTTTGAATCAACTCGTACCGGTGACTACCATGAAGACATGAACGCTGATGTCTTTCAAGAATGGTTCGAACAAATGATAGATCTTCTTCCTAAGAATTGTGTAATAGTAATGGATAATGCAAGTTATCACTCCAGACTTATAGAAGGACTGCCCACAACCAAGTGGTTAAAAAAAGACTTGCAGAATTGGCTGAGTTCAAAAAATATTACGTACCATCCCGGATCTATAAGAAAGGAACTTTGTTCGTTGTGTGCCCTTCATAAAGAAAAAATTAAAAAATACGAAATTGATGAAATTGCTAAAAATCGTGGAATGACACTACTTAGATCCACACCATATCATTGTGAATTAAACCCGATTGAACTGGTATGGGCACAGATAAAGAGTGAAGTTTCAAGAAAAAATACCACTTTTAAAATTCATGATGTTAAACAGTTGTTTTTGGAGGCCGTAAATAATGTAAAACCTGAAAACTGGGAAAAGGCAGTAAATCACACTATTAAAGAAGAGGAAAAAATGTGGAAGCTGGACAATATTACTGATAAAATGATCGAGCCAGTTATTATAAATCTTGGTTCTGAAAGTTCATCTTCTGAATCTGATTTGGATTTGTAACAAGTAGCTGTAAGTTTTATATTAATATTTTTATTCATCTATTTAACATACCTTAGACGGTTTTAAAAACTCTTTTTTTCTTTTGTAGTTTTTAAAAATTAAAAAAAAAATGTGAATTTTTTAAAACCCTTTTTAATGTAGGCCAGTCAGTTCTAATATAGTGTGTGATAAAAGAGGTCACTTTTGTTTACATACACATAACACTTTATAACACTGAAATAATTAATTACTATTAAACTGGGAATAAGCCACAATTAAAGATAAAAATACGTTTATTGACGTTTCAATTTCCACTTCGGAAATCGTTCTCAAAATACAAATAGTAAATTCTATTTAAATATTTAATAGTATTCAATTTACTATTTGTATTTTGAGAACGATTTCCGAAGTGGAAATTGAAACGTCAATAAACGTATTTTTATCTTTAATTGTGGCTTATTCCCAGTTTAATAGTAATTAATTTACAATGCCACAAGAAAATAGCTTCAGAACAATACTGAAATAATTCATTTATTTTTTACAATTATTCAAAGTAATTTTTCAATTAATCTTGAGCACGCTCATGGAGTGGTCGTAGATACCAGTTAAAATTATGCTAATTACTCTCTCGTTCATAAAAATAAACTATAGCTATAGCTGTTTTATGTTTTAGCAGGGAAAAAATCTAAATATAAAAAACGTAGCACAAAAGGAAAAATATCGTTGCATATATGGAGAAATTGATATTGTAGTAAAGTCGTCAGTAAGAATTATTCAAATACAGTAGATGATCAAATTATTATGATCACTTCAAAAATCTTTGTATTTTGTTGTTTAATAAATAATAAAACTACATATAGACATCTCAATATATGAGTGTAATTTAAAATTAGATCAGAAACACGTTCTCGTACAAAATTTTGAAATATTTTTTCTTTGCCCTTTAGCTTCGATAACAGCTTTGATTCTTCTTGGCATGCTTTGAATATTTTTTAGAGTTTTCTTTTATTTTATCATCTCTGTGCTAGGTGGAAATGAGTCTCTCAATTAGCTGCTGTTTATTTGTGACAATTTTTTGGGCAATTACCCTCTTCATGAGTTCCCATAAATTCTAGATAGGGTTAAGGTCTGGCGAAATACTTGGGCACTTCAGTACTTTATTATTTGCTGTTTTTACAAGCACGATGTTACTGTTTTTGCCTTATGGCACAGAGGTAAATCGTGCATAAAGGTATAATCTTCCGATTCGCCAAACCAGTCTTTAATTTGTGGCATAAGCTTTTTTCCAGTACTTCAATATACTGATATTTGTTCATCATTCCCTTCACAAAATACAGCCTCCATGTGCCCTTGCTACTAATCACAAATCATGTCATGATCTTGAGAGGTTGCTTTACTTGATCCACGATGAAATCCTTGTGATATTTCTCAACCAATCTTCTTTGGACGAAGGCCGACTTGTCCATGAGTATCTCCACTGTAGACTCATTGAAGAAACAAACGTGTATATAAAAGATATAAGATATTTTTTAGAATAAAAACAGTGGTTATAGGGATTTAAATTTTAGTATTGATGTAGTTTACCTTATTCCAATCCTTAATTGTCGAAATTTGGTGTTGTTTGGCCCATTGTAGTCCATTTTTCATCATTGCGATGGTCAATTTTGGTTTTTGATAGGGTAACATGATTTGCAACCTTACTCCGCAAGCCTTTTGCGGATTGCCATGTCAGAAACTAGCATCCCAGCTTTACGAAGCTTTTTCTCTCGTCTTTTTTTTCTCTCGTCTCTGGGTGTAGTGACACGGTTTCGATCACATTTTTGGGAACGTTGATGAGTCATTGGCACTGTTGCGCTATCTGACGTGAAAGCTTTGTATACTATAAAGGTGTCCTCCACTATTTTAGTTTCAGAGATGTCTTTAGCCTTACCCTTTATAATTTTATTCTCAAAAATCGATTATTTGTGAAAATGTCGTTAAAATTAAAACTGAGTTTTTTTTCAGTCACAATCACCAATAATGCAGTATTTTTTTATCGAGTTTAATGCGTTGAATGCAGTATTAAAACATACTACATAGATAAAACTATATTAATCTTTCAAAAACAAAATAAAAGCAGACAAATTCAATTATAACCTCCAAGCGCAAATTCAACACAATGTGTATGTTGTGACATAATTTGACACAGATGACATTTCTAGAGTTGTCAACATCAAAAAATAAAGTTATTAGTAAAAAATCATATTGGCACACCTTAATTATGAAGTAGCATATGGTTTTATTGTGAAACTTTGGAACAAATGTGAAAAACTTAAAATTTTTTGACTGATCATAATAATTTGATCATCTACTGTACTTCACTTAAATGTAATTCTTAAACCATACACACAAAGCCATGAAATTCTGCGTCTTCAAGGCCATCATCTACCGTCTATATTTTCTCTTAATAGTAGTTAAAACATACTGTAGGTACCTTTAATTTCATTTCTCATGATGCGAGATATTTTAATTTTGATAAGATTGTTCTTATTAATTATTTCTTTGGTACACACCGGAGGGACCGCAGACGTTCGGATACAATTAGCGTCTCTTAGCAAAGACAATGACGTCGACTTTGCTAAGTATCAAGACAATTACTCTACACACACAAACACACACACACACGCGCACACACACACATACACTACATTAATAAACTTATCTTGATTGAGACTGGCTGAATGACAATTGTCCAAGCCAAAAACACGCACAAAAAAAATTATTTCTTTCGCTTTATCTAATCTTACCAACACATCTCAATTTATTACGTGATCCATCCATATTTTGACGATGGATCTATACAACCATAATTCAAAACCTTGGATATTGTTGTAGGCAGCAATGGCGAGAGTCCCAGATTCTACTTCGAACAAAAATATCAGAAAAACATAGCATCTCGACAGTCATCTTTTTTTATTTTAGCTTGATCGTGACATTTAAATAATTTTGATATTTTACAAAATGCTCTCCCGCTTTCTCTATTTGGCATTTAATTCTTATAGAATGTTTTTTTTAAATAATTACCTTCCCAAGATTCGTTTATGTTTTTATTCTTATAAGAAGTTTAATATCATTTTACACTGGTGTTTGTTTTTAGAGATTATCATATATTTTGTTTTTTTTTATTCAACGATAGTCTGTATTTTTTACTCATAATAATAATAATTAATGTCTTTATTAACAAACAAATTAAATTTTTCTTTACAATAAAATATAATAACAGTAGGGGGAGATTCAGTTTGTATACCACTGTGTAACAGCGGCATACAACTGCTCTTCCGCCTAATCCCCCGAAGGTAGGATAGATAGATAGACCATTCATTATCTAAATAATGAAATTATTGTATTTTACAATGAAACATAAAAATATTACATATTAAATTTATAAATTATAAACTATTAACTTTTATTTAATTCTTAAATTTTCAAAATTATTGTTCAGCTAACTGCTCATAAATTAATCTCTTGAACTTGACACTAGACAGATTTTTAATATTGTAGGAGAAACTGTTAATATTGCAAGCAATGAAATACTAAAATGAACATTTAAAAAAGCATGTTTTATGTTTAGGTAAGGTGAGGGTATTCTTGTGTCTAAGATTAAGATTATGAACATCTGTCCTATAAGTTATTCGATTGTACAGGTATGGTGGAACTATCTCTTGAATGATTTTATGGTAAAAACATAAAGTATGAAGTTTCCGACGATTTTTCGTATTTAGCCACTTGACTACGGTGAAAACATGACTTATCTTTTGAAATTTCCTGATGCCAAAAATCAAACGCAAACAAGAATTTTGCAATTTCTGTATTCTCCATGAGTCATCACATCACAATAATTTAATTTTAATAGTACCAGAGCATTACATAATAATGACTTTGTGGCACTACTTAATAAATTACGGCTTTGATACAGTAATTTTAAAACTGCGTAAGCTCTTTGTAAACTTAAATCTTCGTCGAACCAAACCCCTAGGCTTTTAATCTTTTTGCTACAAATTAAATTGATATTTCCTAAGATAATTCGATTGGCATAATTATCTAAAAATATTTTCCTATGGAGATTCCTCCCAAAAATGATACCCTGAGTTTTTGATGTGTTCAATTTTAAACAATGATTTTGAGAAAAATCTGCAAATGAAGAAGGTCATAATTTATTGCATTTACAGCTTGATCACACTCATTTGGGTAAAATGATTTTTTTTATAGTTGGGTATCGCCTGCGTAATAATGTGTAATGAACAGGTCAGAAACACAGAGGGAAAATTAGTTGTGTATATAGAGAGTAAAATTGGACCTAATATAGATCCTTGAGGCATACCAGTATTAAGATCTAGAAAAGTTTTACTGCTTGACATCTATTAGAAAAATAGGATTTCATTAGATCAACAACTGCTCTCGCTTTTAGACCACTATATTTTAAAATAGAGAATAACAAATTATGGTTAATTGTATCAAAAGCTTTTTAGTAGTCTAGAAGAATTAGAATTGATATTCTGTTTTGGTCATATGCTCTAAAAATATCAACTGTAATATTTAATAAAGCAGAAAGACAGCTATATCTGGACTTAAAACCGGACTGCATCATAGGGATTATGTTGTTATTTTTTAAATGCGTTTTTTAACTGAATATCATTCACCTTTTCCAAAATTTTAGATAATGTAGGCAGTACACTTACTGGTCTTAATTCATTCATGCTTTCTGTAATTTTAGTCTTCGGTAAAGGAATAACATGCGCCCGTTTTCATTTAGTGGAAACAATTTAATTTGTTAAGCAAAAGTTAATGATTGATGGATTCGACCGTTACTTGATGGAAATTCATTTTGTGTAACAATAAAACACTGAAAACTTTGTTTTCAAACTTCCACAAAAATTTATTTTAATTCTTATCCCTACAGCTGTTTCGGCTGATTGCCTTTCTCAAGTGATCAATTTTTGGCATGCGTTTACACTTTATAGTCTCTAATGAAATAGGTTGAGGAGGGGAGAACTGTTTGTCTCAAGTTGGTCATTCAGAATTATATCTGTATTTTTTAATTTGTTGATTTCCATTGATTCTAACAAGGATAGCTTAAGGTCTTTATTTTGAATGTGAAGAATTATAAATTCGTCGTTGACCAACTTGAGACAAAATTTTCTCCCCTCCTCAACCTATTTCATTAGGGAATATAAAGTGTAAACGCATGCCAAAATAGATCACTTGAGAAAGGCAATCAGCCGAAACAGCTGTAGTGATAAGAGTTAAAATAAATTTTTGTTGAAGTTTGAAAACAAAGTGTTTAGTGTTTTATTGTTACATAAAAGTTAATGATATGTTTGATATACGGTAGAAGAAAGGGAATACACAGTTACAGCGTTAATATGTTAATACCATTATCACCAATAGCTTTACTTTCAATATTATTAATAATATGTAAAATATTAGTTTCAGATACTGGTTTAAGGGTAATAGAAGAACTGAGGGAATGCTTAAAGTTATTTTCATAGAATATTTGTGTATCAATATCGGCTTTCATATTTGGTATGACTTCAATAAAGTGCTTATTTATCTCATTTGCATTCCACACGTTTTAATTTCGTAGTTATTTTTGGATTGGCAATTATTTTACAAATATTTTAAATTATTCCACATATTTTTAGAAGATTGATCATGTATATTTTTAAAATATGATTTTTTCTCCCTTATAGTCATGGCTGTTAATAAGTTACGCAATACTTTGTAGTCATTCCATTTATTTATATTTTTAGTAAACTTGTAAGCAGTAAGTGCTATATTACTATCTAACATTAATTGCCTGATGGTATTAGTTAACCATGGAGCATATTTCTTTGAGATTCTAAAAGTCTGATCATAAAAGTAATGATCATAGAGAGAAAATCGACTTTACTATTTATATCTGGCAATTCATATATTATTCTTCATGGTATAGATTCCAGATCAGATTTAAATTGACTGTAATTTAAATTTTTTTAAATTCCGAGTAGTAATAAATTTATTTGTATTAGTTTTAACATCACAACCAAATTTTAAAACAACCATTTCATGATCACTTATATCTGGGATATGTTTTATTTCAAAAGACAAAATTTTATCCTCAGTAGATGTGATTACATAATCAAGCAGAGTGATGTGAACTGGGTGATTCTAGTTGTTTGAGATTTGCCATCTGCTTTAGTCCAAGACCATCTAATACAACTGTAATGAAGTGTGTGGAATAATTATTGGTATTTAACAGATCAACATTAAAGTCACCCAAACAGAGTGCTGATGATAAAATTGTTTCCAAAACTCCAAAGAAAGTTTTATAAAATGCTCCTTAAGAATTATATAAAACACCAATAGCTAGTGTTTCATGTCGAAGAGAGAATTTTAACCATATCTGTTTAATTTCATTTGATGACTCAATCAGCACATAATTTATAATTATTACATTGTATGTAAATACCTAAAGTCGACTTGCTTAAAGTTATAGCTAGGTATATTAATGTTCCTCCTGGATATTGATTCCTATAACCATGTTTCACTTATAGCCATAATATCTAAATCATTTTTTTAAAATAAGCTCTTTGATATCAATAAAATGCGCAACTAGCGATCTAGAGTTTATACGAGCACACTTTAAACTACTCATATTATGCTTGGATTAGATCCTTACTAAATTAGTACAAACGATTATGTCATTGTAAACAATTTAAGCAAAATTTGTAGATGATTATTTTTTACATAAACATGATAATCATCTTGATAACTCCATTCATTATATTTGGAATTTGTTTGGGACTATCCACAAAAGTTGTTATATGTAAGCATGTCTTAACGCTTTTTTGTACTCCATTTACTCTGCCACCTACCTCGCATTATGCTTCTTCACAGATGTTTTTTTTTTAATATATCTCATACAATTAAGGTGGCAACATGTATCCTTGTTTTACCCCCTCGTGATCTGGATATCGTCTGATTCTTCGATGAATGCATATGGATATGCAATACAGTCCCCAGATCGCATTGATTAATTACAATATCTTCCCGTATTTTTGTTAGTCTGTCCTCTGTTGTGTCTTACAATGTTGGTTGGTTTTTATAATACCTGTACACTGAACAAGGAAAAGACTAAAATATAATCCTCTATATGATTTTTAATGCTTAATTTATATTTTATAAATATTTCAATTACTATTTTCATTGGAAATAAGCCACAATTTAAGTTTAAAAGAAGTTTAAAAAAAAAATATTTTAAACTTAAATTGTTGTTTATTCACAATAAAAATAGTAATCGCATAAAAATGCCACAAGAAAATAGCTTCGGAACAATATAAATATTTCGAAAAATATTTTTATCTGCCATCTATGGTTTACCATAATATTTATATGGCCGTTTTATTGTTACAGACTGCCGGGGGTGAGTGACTGCTCGGCCGGGCAAACGGCCCGGGTAACCTCCAATCTGCACCCGACGAGTACTATGGCCGTGAGCCGAGTCCCGAGCCCACCGCCACAGGAGGTCAACACGCCCGTAGCCGAAAATTGGTGTTATACACAGGTCAGTATTTTTGTTCATGTTTATATTGTATTTATTTGGACAATTGTTTCTTGTTCAATTATAAGTTAGAAACAATTTTTTAATTTCAAATAAATTAAAGCCGATTTATGTTTTGTATAAAGAATTAATTAATCAAAACCTTCTTAAAAATATAAAATCGACAATCTTTCTTGTTCTGTCAATCGTGTACATCTAATGCTCTCTGAAGTTGATCCGAACCATGCTCAATTCAGTTAGGAATGGAAGAAATGAGAAAAACTGACTTTGTCAAACTTTAACAAATAAAATGCATTATCATCATCATCTTCGGCTCTACAACCCTGTTCAAGAATTAGTTTCCATTCCTCCTTATCTTTCACCCTGGCTTTCCAATTTCTGACCCCTAGATTCCTCAAGTCATCTTCGACTTGAGTTTTAAATCTAGATCTTGGCCTGCCTTTCTTCCTGGTTCCTACTGGCTCTTGATATAATACCTGTCTTCGTAGATCTTCAGTGTCTATTCTTTCAAGGTGTCCTATCCACCTTAATCTATTAATTTTAATAGACCGGACGATGTTGCATTTTTCATAGCATTGACACAACTCAAAATTGTAGCGCCTGCGCCATATCCCGCTTTCTTGTACTCCTTCATATATGTGTCTTAAGTATTCTTCTTTCAAAGCGGACTAACAGTTCTTCGGAACAGTCAGGACAGGTTTAATAAGAGTTTCATATATTAGCTTGGTTTTTCTGCTAATTATGTGTGAAGTTAAGAACTGCTTTAGTCCAAAGTAAACTCTGTTCGCCAGGTATATTCTTGCATTATATTTGAGGAAATATATAGATGGCATCTTCTTTGTAAATTGTGCTGTTCATGTACCTATTCAGAACCAATAAATCTCTACATCTATTAAAATTAATTTCACATCATACTGTAACGGATCCCTTCGGAATGAATAAATTACCTGGATAAGTCTACGATTCTTAGTCATAATGAATTGTCGTGTACTTGTCCAAACACGTATACGACTACTATTACAATGCCCCCTAAAATAATAATAGTCGGCGAAGAGTACAGATTCTTCTCCTCAGTTTCGATGATTTTTGCCAAAAACTTGATTCTGGATCTTGTATCAATTCTGACACTCATGAACACATATGATGATACTCATATGGTGTTTAAACCTTTCCATGAGGCAGTCGGGAGACATTTGCTCCCCTGCTAAATGAATCCATTTTTGTCTACCAAAATCTGGAAAGTTGATTCATCGAAAAATCGCATTGTAAAATACCTACTACTACTCCACTACTCTATTCCAGCCTTTAGTAGTCATATGCCGGAGTTGTTTAGCCTATAACAGTCTCTTTATCTATATTTTTTTGGTAAGGTAATTTTCTTTCATAGGCCCACGGTTGAGCAGGTTCTCTCCGACCAATCTCCTTCGGACTATTTTTTTGGAAACAGTACTTCCCTCCTCGTTTATCGTTGTAGTAAGATATACCACAAAATGTTTACGATTTATAAGATAAATATACCTCATTTTTTATCAATGGTAGACATAGTAAACATTTTCTGTTGGACTACCTTCGAACTACCTTCGAATGTCTGGTTTTTATCCATTTGTATTATTATTTTAGTAATTAGAGTCTAACAGAAATACTTACAATTGACAGTATAACCTCTGGGAATGTTTGATGTGAAGTAATAAAGTTTTAATCTGTCTACATGTTCTTCGAGATAAGTCTGAAGCCTTATAAATAATAAAAAACAATTTCGAATTTGAATACTTTTTAATACCCAAAATCCTCTTATGAAATTGGATAGCATTAATTTAATTAACAAATATCACTTAGTTAACTATATCGATCAGGAAAAACATGCAAGAAGCTATTTGCAAATATTTACAACCATCTAGAAATATTTATGTCACTGTGAAAACAACAGACCTTTAAAACACATTAAATGTACATTAAAATTAAACACATAAAATTTTTTGATAAATAATGCAGCATAACATTGTTGTTACTTAAAAACAACATACAGGATATACCAATAGCAATACCAAACAAAAAAGTATGACCCCCTAGTTAGTGTTTTATTCAAAATAATAAATTATATTAGAAAAGACTCACTGTTCTTAACTGTTGACTAGCACTTTTTGTGTCTTATGACTAATTTTCTCTGTTTTAAATGATATGGCTTATTATGTATTGCGCATGGTAATACATTTGAAAGAGTATCACTTTTCAAACTACAAAAAATCTGTGCTTTGTTACTTGTGGCATCCGCATTTTCTTCTTTAATTGCTATGTTGATGCATTTTCACCAAATATAGAAGCTTTTTTAAATATTGAGGATTACGATGTGACCTCCTGCTGTAATTAAAACACGCATAATTCTGAGAAGAATATTCCATATTTTAAAACTTAGTGCTATTATGCAAATTGAATTAATGATTTCCTTGTTAAAAGAAAATTGTGTATCAGTAAGACCCATCGAAGCCATGAATCCAATAGTTGATAGTGGGTCTGCTGAATCCATCATGGCACATTAGTTGTTTCGTATTCGTTAAATCATTTAAAATAGAAACCCATCATTTTTCTTATATTCATTATATACTTGTTTAATTGAAAATCATCTTTGATCAGGTTAGCCTTGGAAACAATTGGAATCACTCAATTGACGTTTTGCTATGTTAGTTCTGTTTGTAAACGTTACATTGATCAGTTCTTATTGTTTATATTTGATTGCGATTTTACGTATTGTGACTTAAAAATGGCGTTTGTTGTTAACAGCACGCTGTCATTCAAATTTTGTGTGCTGAAGGTTTACAACCATGGCAAATTCATACATAGATGCAAGCAGTGTATTCAAATGCATGTTTTGCGTATCTAACTGTCAAGGAGTGGTGTTATTTAAGAGTTGAAGAGAGGAGACACGGTAAGCCGTGACCAAGTGCATTGAGTACTGCATCGATAGACAGGAATGTGGCTTATGTAAGTAAAGGCTTGGTTAGAGAAAATCGTCGAATTGCAATCAGAACATTTTCAGAAAATAATATAAATGTTCAGGAAACAGCAAGATCATCCTATCAACATTTTTTTTCGACCATGAAAAATCTTTGCTCATAGAGTTTACAGAACTTACAGTGCAGATCAACGCAAACATGTATAATGAACAAGCTCCATCAAGTAATAAGACGAAAACGTGCAGGTAGTCTCTCACTTGTTGTCATTCTTCTGCACGAGAATGCTCGGCCCAATGTTGCCAGAGTAGTGACAGAAAATCTAGAAAGAAATGGAGGATATTAGAACATCCACCCTATAGTTCCAATTTATTGCCTTTCGATTTTCGATCTTTGGGTCACTAAAAAAGTTGTTAAATTGTTTTCAGTCAGATGAAGAAGTACAAAATACCGGAAAAGAATTCTAGCAAAGTCACAAGAATTCTTTAAGCAGGATATACATCGGTTGGTGAGACAATGGGATTTGAACCTTAATTGTAGTAGCAATTACTTTTAGATACCAATTTTTACCATATTTACCAATTTTTTTTTCTGTGCCAAAGATGCGTTTCAATTGAACAAACCTCGTATATTTTTTTATATTTTAATTTATTATGGTAAAATATTTCGCTAGTAGTAAATGTTGAACACATATTAAATCTATATTACCAACTTTCAGTTTTAATAATTTATTATGAATATAATCATCTAAATATAAAATAACAAATTCTAGTGTGTATAATTTTTAGATTCGCCCAGTAAAAACAGTGAAAATATGGTGGTGGCGCATACAAATATACTGTAATATCGCCAATCGTACTAACTCAAATCGAATCGAGGATGTACCTACAAAGATAGTATGAAACTGTGTTTTTAGCACGCGAGCGCACGCACTTTATTTTCTCGGTTACCTAAATAAAAGTGGATTTTTATTTTTTTTTTTGTTTTTCGATAAATTTGATGCGAAACAAGGTCGACATGGTTTTGGCACGAGCTCTTGTTCATTTCGGGTGCCATTCAATAAATAAGTATAATTATAAAGAAATTAAAATTGACTTTTAAAATAATTATCAAGGAAGAATTAACTTAATTTATGTTTAATAAATCTCTGTGTATTGGGATTAAAGATAAATATAATTTCTATTATTCTTAAAAGTTTACTGCAGTTATATTATTTTAATATGATAATTAGTCTTCCTTATGAAACCCATAAAATATTTACTACAATGGGACGTAGTTATGCAGAAGTGATCCATTCCACAATTTCTTAAAATATGAGTTAGACACAAATTTACATCGGTAAAATTCGGAACTAAATTATGCTGAAATGATCCAACCTTTTCTATGCAAAACAACAGTAACAATAGTAAAATGTCCAACCTTAAACGCTCTTTTAGCTTTAATCGATTGTGCAGTAATGATTCATGCTACTTAAATCTTTAAATATTTTTAAGAGTAATTTTCAAAAATGAACCAAGACACATGGATCATTAATGCGCTTTAAAAATAATTTTAAAACCAGGCTTTAAAGTAGTTTACAAAAATGAGTCAAGTCACATGGATCATTATTGCGTTTTAAAAATAATTTTAAAACGAGGCTTTATTTTTTAAGCCAAAATGATCCAAGTGACCCGAATCATTTTTACAAAATTAAATAAAGCCAATAACGCTACGCTGTATTTAACACTGTAATGATTCAAAAAGCTTGAATCATATCAGCAAATAATGTTATTCTCGCAATGTTCTTTGGTCATTATTAATGCAGAAGTGTTACATTCCATAATGCAGTAATATAATAAAGAAACCTAAGCGGCAACAACGCAACGCCAGCCAAAATCTGTCCAAGGTGCTGCTTGTAATAGGCAAGTGGATAGCGTAGTGTTTTTTTGTTTTTTGAACATTTTATGCTATTGAAACTCTTTTTGTTAAAACATCCAACTTTACACAAAATTTCACAAAGATTTCTAGAACCAGGTCATTCCTACCTGCCAAATGACACCGATTTTGGCAAAATAG